TGCGGCCCCCGCGGCCCGCGCGCGGGGCCCGGCTACGCTCTGACTCTCTGGATAGCCGCCTCTCCATCTTGCCGCCCCTCTGGCCTCGCCTGCCTGGGGGCAAAGCGGCCCTGGCCCCAGCGCTGGCGGTGGGCCAGTTTGCAGCCTGCTGGCTGCCTTATGGCTGCGCGTGCCTGGCGCCTGCAGCGCGGGTCGCGGAGGCCGAGGCGGCTGTCACCTGGGTAGCCTACTCGGCCTTCGCGGCTCACCCCTTCCTGTATGGCCTGCTGCAGCGTCCAGTGCGCTTAGCGCTCGGCCGCCTCACCTGCCGCGTGCTGCCCCGGCCCCTGCGGGCCTGTGCTCGACAGGCTTGTAGTCGGCAGGCCTGGCACCCACAGGCACTGCTGCAGCGCCTCCAGGGACCCGCCTCTGAGGGATCTGCCCTAGGCCCCACTGAGGCACCAAAACAGGTCCCCACGTGGGCAGGAGGGCAGCGCCTGAGCATGCCAGAGGCCACCTGAGAGCTCTCTCTCCTGAGCTAGAGAAAGGAGAGTGCTATCAGAGGGGGTCCATCCAGCCCCTGTGCAGGTCACAGCAGGTGCCCTGCCTGATTTCTGGCTCTGGAACAGGAAGAGAAAGGGTACCTGCAGACTTGTGAGGCCCAGAGGCTTTTCAGAGCCGGGAATCCTGGGTTCTGGGCCCAACACTGCATGGTCTTGTGCACAGCCCTACCCTTCCTTAGGCCTCAGTTTGCCCATCTGTACCCTGCACCATTTCTAAGGGCCCCTCCAGGATAGGTGGTTTATGAAATTCTTGGATGGTCCCCAGACCAAGGGAGGAGAGAAGACCCTAAGGGCTCATAGCCAAAGTGATGGGCCAAGCAGAGCAGGGTCTGGGTTACAACCACAGCAGGAGAAACCTGTGGAGACACTCAGGCTTCCCTGACATCCGCACCAAGAAGAAGCTGGACACAGCTACTGAAACTCTTCCATCTGCTTCTAAAATGCCCAGAAAATGACCCGACCAATTTGGTGCTAGAAGCAGGAGGCTGGACAACATGACCCACAAAGGGCTCTGAAGTCCCAGGACTGGTGTGTGGAAGGGGCTAAGGCCCAACTGGAGCTGATGGATTCACAGATGGGGGTCCTTTGGGCCTCAGCTGCACTAACTTTCTGGAGACTTTGCCACCCCAACACCAGTATTTCACAATTTCCTGGTCGCTGAGAATATTTATTCAAAAACAGGGATTGAAAAAACTGTACAGTGTCTGCTGCTGAGAACTGGGCCCCTGACCCCATGCCACTCCCCCAGGTACCCGGCAGTGCCCCCTCTTTGGGGTGCTCCCTGACATGCCCAGTCAGTCCATTCCAGTCAAAAAAGTACCAATGGAAGCAGCAGGAGTCTGCAGGAGGTGGGGAGAGAAGTGTGGCCCCAGCCACCCCCAAGACCCCCTTCTGACTCCCACAAGGACAGTAGGCCAGAAGCCCTAAGATATGGGGAGTACATGAGTGACCCCCCATGGTGGGGCACTAGGGAGGCTCCTGGCTGCACCCTGCATCCAAGCACAGAGCTGAGGGGTGGGGCACCTGCCCTGGGGCTGCTGCAGCTCCTAGAACCCTGGGCCAAAAACTGCCCACACTCTGAGAGGAGAAACTCCCATAGATGGGGGCAGGGTAGGGGGTGCATCCATGCTTCTGGACATTAGCGGCATTTGGGACCCCAGGGTGGAGTCTCCGTGAGCAGGTAGGGTGTGGAGGCAGCCCCCTGCCGGCGGTCCTGCCTGCCCCTGCATGTGCCTCAGCTGGCTTCAGTAGGGGGAGAATTTCTGCCGCTCAGCTTTCTTGCTTCCATTGGCCGCTGCCATCTTGGCAGTATAGGCCGCCAAGCCTGGTGGTGGCCCTGGTGAAGCAGGTGGTAGAGCCAAGAAGGGCACAGGCTTGAGGCCGATGAAGTTGGAGAGGGAGATGGCATAGGGTGTGCCCAGCAGGCCTGGGGGAGCCGTGGGCAAGGCTGTAAGGGGTGGCGAGAAGGGGGCGGGCAGGTCTGCGGGAGCTGAGCTGGGTGTCCCCCCAGAGGTAGACTTGGCCGTCTCTAGACTGGAGAGAAGGATATAGAGGGAGAAGAATGGGAAAGTGGGAATGAGAGAGAGGGACAGCAAGGGCAGATATAGGGCATGAGATTAGACAGGAAAGAAGAGTTGAGGAGAGAACAATGACATGGGTACCTATGTTTGGGGGAAGATGGGAGAGGTGGGAGGGTGAGGATGAGAAGAAAGGACAGGCAGGTATAAGATGGGGTGAGGGGAGAGATGGGGAGGCCAAAGACCCAGGGAAAAGAGACAGCAATGGGGGAAAGAGGACATGTAGGATGGTTGCAGAGGGAGAAGACGGACAACATGGGGTTATTTAGGCAGAACACCATGAGGAAATGGGATAGGGTTAGGGGAGGCAGAGGACACTCCCAGACCGAGAAAGGTCAGCTCTCCCCTCCCCACCTCTGTCTGTGACATTCCCACCACCCACCACATGCTCACCAGGCAGTGATGAGGTACTGGGCCAGGGCAATGGAGACCGGCGAACCAGTGATGGTCACGTGCCGCTCACCAGCACCCTCCGCTTGGTTCCCAATCTTAATATGTGCCCCTGACATTTGCCGGATCTCACTGATCTTGCTGCCCTGGCGCCCGATCACACAGCCAATCAGCTAGGGGGAAGGCAAAATTCAACCCTGGGCAGGGCCCAAACCTCCGGGCCCCCTACCCACTCTCTAGCCACCCCATCCCCTGCTCACATCATTGGGAACCAAGAATTCCTGCGAGCTGGTCTGTGCACCAGGATCCAGTCCTGAAGGGAAAAAGAGGAACTGAGTGTGTTTCTTGGCCTTTCCCATCTCCCATGTCCATTCCAAGGGGGTTGCCCAGCCTCTTGGGATCTGCTTGTGCCCCCTTCTGCAGGGACTGCTCACCTGGCACCACACTGGGTGAGGCAAAGGGGACTGCATGGCCTGAGAGCTGCTGGAGCTTGGTGACCTGTGCCAAAGAGGACTGGTCAGAAGTCAGAGGAGGCTTGGTTTGGGAAGGAGTAGGTGCCTTGGGCTGTGGGTCACTCACCTCAGCTGGGGTCACAGTCCCATACTGACCCTGGACAGAGAAACCCTGTGGGGATAAAATGGGTGAAAAGGGGGTTACTGTGACAAATCGGGGCAGTTTGGACAGAGTCACTTCTCCCATCCGCAGATCCCCAATTCCTTCTTCCATCCCGTCTTAATCCCCCTTCTCCAGTAATGCTTCCCACCCCTCCTACTGTCTCCTCACCTGGTTAGCAGAGAGAAGGACTGTACCTAGGGAGAGGCTCGGATGATATGGGATAGTGGCTCCTTTGGGTGGGGACTGGAAGGCATAAATGGGAGGCTCTGTCAGGACCCTCTCAGGCCCCACTAACCTGACCAAATGCCCAGAGGCCTCAAGGCCCTTCCTATGACCCCAGGTAAATGCATCCTGACAATCTGGAGCTTATAATCCATCCCTGCATCCCCACCCTGCCCCACCTAGTGTCACATGCATAGGCCTTGGGGTACATAATGAGGCAGGCCCAGGGCCCATCTCCTGCCCCCTTTTTCCCTGCCCCAGGACAGCACCTCCAGGATAACAGCGCAGATCTGGCGCACACACAGGATGATGGCATCAGGCACCCCAGATACAGTGACAGCACGCTCTGTGGAGTTGGGGAGCAGGTCCCCTGCTACCTGCACCTGGGCACCTGTAGTCTGCAAACAGAGAACAGGGGCCACTTCTGGCAGCTCCCATAGCCCAAACAAGGGCTTCCCAGGCTCAGAGCTCCCCAGGGAGTAGAAAGTCATAAGCAGTTTCCCTCTCAAAACGGCAGGGTGGAGGCTCCCTGTGCATGGTATCCCTCTCCCCTCACCTCTCGGATCTCTTTGATCTTGGTGCCAGCCTTCCCAATCAGTGAGCCACACTGGCTGGCAGGGATGACAAGGCGCAGGGTCACTGGAGGTCTAGAGACATTCCCACCATTTGCAGGAGCAGCACAAAGGTCCTGGGGCAGGGAGATGGTGGGTTAGCAGTGCATGCCCCTGCTACTCCTCCACCTCTCTTTAAGTGTCATCCTACTGACAGATGAGGAGAGTAGCCCTTCCCTAGTTCAACTCCAAGGGAACACTGCCCTGACCCTGACTTCCCCCACCCCCACCCATAGCCACTATCAGGAGTCAGAGTCATGTACCTCCTGAGGAACCACCCTTGGCCTCCCACCAACCACCAGCCACGGACCTCATCTAGCTTGAAAGCAATCATAGAGACTGCATGGAAGACGGCTGCTGTAGACCCAGTGATGGTGGTGATGCGCTCGGGGCAGGAGCCCTCAGAGATGGTGATCCGGGCACTGCTCTGCAGGTACAAGATGAGCACCGGGCAGCAGGGCACCTTTCCAACTTCCTCGCCTGGAACCTGTCTGCCTGCCCCACTCACCAGGTCCCAGCTGAGGCTGGAAACCGCCACCACATGGGGCACTCAATGGTCATCCCAGATGGAGTGGTTTAGAGAGAAGGTGGGGCAGGGGTCTCCCCTCTCCTCCACATCAGGTGCCCTGAGCTCCTCCCCCAAACTCCATCCTTACCTGCTCCCGGATTCTCTTTACAGTCTCTCCCTTCTGTGGGAGACAAAACAGAATCGCTCAGCGTGAGCAGTCATTGCCTCTTTCCCTGGGCTGAGGCCTCAAGTTGAGGCCAGTATATAGAGCAGAACCGGATACCTACCTTCCCAATTATGCTGCCCACCTCCTGCAAACAAGACAAGAGTGGAATCAGACGGGTACCAAGGCCCCAGGCCCGGCCCTTCCCCCAACCTGGCCAGGGGCTCCACAGCAGACAGGACAGCTGAGATCAAACTCGTGTTGGCCCCACCTTGCCTTGCCTTGCTTTGCCCTCCACAAACACCCAAGCCATGGCAGAGCTCCCCACCCACTCACCTTCCCGTGCATCAGCATCCGCAGCGTGAGGGTGATGCTGAGCTCTGGCTCCTCCTCCAGCCCCGCATCTGAACTGCTCATCCTGACAGGCGGGGCTGGGGCCACAGCGGCCTGGGACTATGTCCACACTGTGGCCTGGCCGGCTCTGGCAGGAGAGTGGAAGAGGGGTTAAAGAGGAGCCCAGGTCACCCTGCCCCTGCCCTTAAATGAGGGCTCCAGAGCCAAACTCCCAGAGGAGGGAGACAGCATGGACCTTGAGTTCCGGTGTGCTTGTGTGTGTCCCACTAGCTATATAACCCTGCACAGGTCATTTAACCCTTCTGAGCCAAACCTACCCTTCTATAAAAGAGGATACCAATTCCTACCCACAAAGAGTTATGCAAATGCAAATGAGATAAGCATATACATGGTAGGTACTGTCTCCATGGGTATCCTTCCTCTCTACTCATGTATTAGAAGAGAGTTAACTAGGCCTATGGGAGTCCAGACAGGAGAGCCTCCTCCCTCACCTCTTGGAAGAGGAGATCCCGTGGATGGGCCTTGAAGGTTGAGTTAAGGTTGAAAGTTTATCCAAATAAAAGACACTTGCATCCAGGGGTCAGAGCCCCCCACTGGCTAGCATGTAGGAATGGCTGGAGAGGAAATTGGAGCAGTCATAGGAGATCCTGAAGGGAAGGAGGCTGTAAAAGTGGTACAGCTCTAGGATGGGCCCTCTTACCCCTTCCTCCCCTCTTCCTGGCTTGGGGGGATGGGTTAAGAGTCCCAACCTCCAGAGGCTACTCTCCTTTACTAGAGGTCACTAGAGCAGAGGTGCCCTGCAGACAGCTCTGGGCAGGATTCATTCAGCACTGGGCTGGGGGTGGGCAGAGGATATCAGAGGACCAGCAGTCTGCCGAATGGTGTTTTTAATCTCTCTATGTGCCAAGACTGGCCCTGGGAACAGGAGGTAAGAAGCATCCAGGCTGGCCACATTCCCAGCCTGGAACACTTTCTACTGTACCAGAAACAAGTCTCAATTTTCTCACACATAAAATGGAGAGACTACTTCTCCCTGGGACTGGGTGGTGCATAAGAAAGGGATTTGGTGGGCTACAGGAATGTCAAGGCCATTAACTGATGGAGGAAGGCGGAGCCTGAGATTAGCTGCTAGGATTAGCTCAGCCGCCAGCCCTCTCAACCCAACCCTTTTTTATGCCCCGACTAATCCTGAACTTTAATCCTGCTTGGAAATCCCTCTCCTTCAGCGGCTACCTCCCACCAAGGCTCAGCCTTGATGGGAAGCTCACCAAGGGACCAGAACCTAAGGAGGAAAACAGAGTGTGACCAACTAGTGCCAAGTCTGGGCCAAAACCAAGCCCTAACCCTGCAAATTTCTTCTGCCTGGAAGGGCATGGGGGCAAAGGATGAGTGTGCTGGGCTTGAAGCACTCTGGAGGCTTCTGGTCGCCTTGTTCCTCAGCCCCCTGCCCCATTCTGACATGAAGGTCCAGGGCATAAAGCTCTGTCCAATGCTCTCTTCTGAACTCCCCTTGCTAACCAGAGCTTGGGTGTGGAGTGGGAAGAGGGGCTCCTAGCCTGGCTTTTTCTCAGGAACCCTGAGCAAGCCACCGTAGAGCATGAGGTCTCCGTTCCCTTATGCACATAATGGCAATGACAACCCTGTTCCCCTGAGCACCTCCCCAAGCACCTGCTCCTCCTTCCATTTGAGTTCTGCAGTAGGCTTGCCAGAGGTTAGAGATCAGCAGTGGATGCAGGGACTGTGCTCTCTGAGCATCCTGGCCAACTTTATGCTGGCTGCCCTTCCTAAGCGACATTCCCGCAGCTGCCTGCACTTACCCCCTCAAAGCACTTGCGATGACGTGCTTGGTTTCTGTCTCCCTGGACAGCCAAGCCCGGGAGCCCCTTAGAGCAGGAGCCAAAGCTGCCACCTTCTCCTTGATCCTGAGGGCTCATTCAGAGCCAGGCCAGAGAAGGTGCTCTGAATACACTGGCTAGCTGAGCAGAAAAATACACTGCACAGAAGGGGAAACTGACACCTAGGGAGGGTCTTGTAACCTGCCCAAGGTCACAGAGAGCTGGGGCATGGTGGGAGTAGCAGGGTCCTGCCTGCTAGCATGGGGCTGTCCCAAGCCCCAACTGCCTCCCCTTTGGGGCTGCTCCTGTCTGAGTCTGTTAGCCCTCTTCCTGAAGGAGGGACTCTTCAGAGGTAGTGACCAGGCTTCAGTAATCTCTGAGACCCCTGCCTAGCCAGGGGTAGGGTCCTGTAGACATAGGTCCTGTTTGGAAAAGACTGACAACTTATCCAGAGCCACAGTCTTAAGCTCCAGAACCTTCTAGGGCTCAGGAACCCCTCTGAGGTTGTAACCATTGGGAGACCTGACATTGTCCCCATATCATCTCCACATCACCTCTTGTGGCTCCAGGAAAAATGGGACAGGAGGGCTGGAACATGGCCACAACTGGAGCTCCTGCCATGAAAAAGACACCTGGGTCTGCGGCAGAAACCCACTGCCCCAGATTCAATGGGCGACCTTGGCCACGCCCTCACCTGCCTTGGGCCTCCATTTACCTTCCTGTACTATGATTAGGGGTCGGGGTGAGGGGAGAGTTGCTAGTCTCTCTGTGCCCTTTCTGTTCTGAGAGACCCTTAAGTTCTTTCCTGCCTTTTGGAGAGAATCAGGGGTCCTAACCCATGTCTCTCAAATTATTCTCCTAGGGCCCTAAGAACAAGCAGCCCCTCTTACTGGCTCCTCTGCCCTCACCAGAGCTAGCTATAGAAAGTTACTTGCTGCTCCAGTCTGGTGGGCCTTGGGTCTCTGCTGGGCCACCCACGTGGCAGCCACACATCATGTCACAGTGACCTCCAGCTCACCTCTGAGGGTGCCCAGCCTCCTCTGGTCAGCAGGGATCCCTGGCAGCACATACCAAACTCAGACGAAGACTCTGACCTTAGGCGTTCCCTTCTGCTCCAAAGGCCCCCTCCCCAGACCCAGTGCCCACTCCCTCTGCCCCTGGCTTCCTGCCACTCAGGCTGGAGGGGGTAGGGGGGGACAGTAACAGCTGTGTAAGCGATGGTGGCTGCCCCCTTCCCGCCCCTCCCCCCCCAGCTGTCTCTCTCCCATGACAGCTGCCCAATCAAAGGGCCGGGGGCTTAGCCAGCTCCCCCCACATGCAGGGATCAAGTGTCCACCCTGGCTTTGTTCTGAAGAAAGAACAATCCGGGGGAGGGGAGGGCTTCTGGGGCCAAGCAACTCAAACAGACTGGCCCGCCCCTTGGGGGATTCCCTCAGCTTTGCTGGCCAGTGTCTGGACCAACTAGGGCCTGTGGACCCACCTGGGTTGGGTCTAGTCTCCAGCTTCATCCCCCATCTTACATCCCCCAACATCCCCCTCAGCAGCCCAAGCTTCCAACCTAGCAACCTCCTTCTCCTATTCCTACTTTGAAAGCAGCCATGCTAGCCACACCCAGTGATGCTGGGGAATGGCTCAGAGCATCAGGCGAGGCAGGGTGTGGCAGGGAGTGGACACTGGGCCTGGGGGAGATCAGCATTGAGGGCTCCTGACTCCCCTGCCCATCCCCTTCTCTGGGGATGCTCACCCTTCCTGATGAGCAATGCCTCCACAAGAACTGCCCCGGCATCCTCAGACCCATGTGCCCAGCCTCTCAGCCTCCCAGGATGGCCAATCACACCCAGTTTTGAGGGTAGGAGGGGAAAGACAGGCCTGCAGAAGAGCAGCCTGGGATCTACAAGCTCCAGCCCCTGCTTTCTTGATTCAGATCTGCCTCATAGACAAAAGTGCCAGGCAGGGAAGGGGAGCTCTGATAAGCTGGCAAATGCCTCCTTAGAGCATCATCAGGCAGCCCCCCAAGACTCTTCATAGCCAAAGGAAACCAAGGCAGGCCCAGGCCCAGGCCCAGACTGGGCTCTAGGATAAAGGCCACAGGCTCATGTTGTTGCCCCCACTTACTGGTACCCATCCCCTCACTGTCTCACCCAAATTGAGAAAGATCTGTAGCTTCCATTCTCCATGTTGAAGACTACATGCTCACTCTGCTGCTCAACAGCCATCCATGGCTCCCCAGTGCCCTAGGAATAAAGCCTGATCTCCATGGACAGGAAATCAAGGACCTTCATGATCCTGCCCCTGCCAAAGTCTCTTTTCTCATCTTCATCCCATCCCCCACACATGCCAGACTGCAGAAAATGCCTAGCACCTCCAGCCCTCTGGGCTTTTGCCCAGGCTTATCCCAGCTTGAAATGCCCATCCTCCCCCACTCTCTGTCAAAATCCTTCTCAAATGCCACCTCCTCTGTGGAGCTTTCTTCAACTTTCCAAGTCAGAGATAATCACTCAGGCCTCTGTGCCCCCCCAAAGATATGGCCACAACTCAGAGTCCCAGTTGGGTATTTCTGAGACTGTTTTTCCACTATTCAGAGAGCTACCAGAGAACACGAAATTTGAGACAGAACCAGGCTCAGTATGCAAGAAGAGTTAGTGCTCACAGGGCCTGGTGGCATTAGGGACCAAAGATGGGGCTGAGGGTCCCAGAGGAACAATGAGGGTAGGGTGAGAAGACCCAGAGAATGAGGAACCAGCCACATGGGCAGAGCCAGGATCCACCTGGACAAGTTTCCCAGTTCCTTCCCCAGCATCCCCAGCCCCTGCTCCTGCTATTTTTCCAGGTCTAGGGGCTCCCGGGTATGTTGCAGGGGTAAGGGATTTGGCTATGCTCTGAGACTTCTGAGGAGCCAGAGTGGATCACTCCATTGGGAAGGGGAGCTGGAAGAGCTGGGGTGTAGGGTAGGTTACACAGAATTGAGTCAGACTCAGCCTGTCACAGCTGGAAGGGTCTCACCAATCAAGAGAGGACCCTGAGGTCCAGAGAGGAAGGGGATTGTTTGCAAGGCTACATGGGAGGCAACTGGAAGAGCTGGGAGAACCCAGGGGTCCACCTGTGCAGCTCAGAGCTCTTTCCTCAAGAGGCCAGCACCACTGGGCAATGGTGATAGAGGCGGGGGGGTGGTGGGGGCAGTAATGGGAGTAGGAAGGGTAGACGGAGCCTGTCTGGGGACACAGGGTGGGGCAAGCCAGCCTCCCCATGCCCTGGGCCTGCCAGGGTGTGTGGGCCGCCTGCTCCCAGCCCCCCACCCTGAGCATGCAAGGAGAACAATCCCCTTGTGTTTGGACAGCCTGAGCCTGCATGCTGATGAAGGCTAGGGGGTGGGGGCTGGGACGGGGGTGCCTTGGAGTTGAGGGGGTTCCAGGACCTGGAGGGGCTAGGGGATCTTCATATGGGGAAATAGGGTCCCAGGTGCTGACCCCAAGGCAACGAGGGTGACCCCAGGAAACAGTGAGGTCTGGAGCTCAACTCCTAGGGGGCCCCTAGGGTCTAAGAGCTCTTTGTGGGGGAAGGAGGGGCCCAGGGAACACATGCCCTGTTGGTTCAGCATGAAGGTAATCATCCTGGCCTTGGTGGGAACCCAGAGCTCCACATTCCAGGAGGAGGGGATGCAACTTGCCCTAGGAGCATACCCTTGAAGATCACTCTCCTGGGTGCTGGGGCCGGGCGGGGCACTGGGTGCCACAGGTCTCAAGATGGCGGGCCTGGGATAGGGGAGTGAGGAGGCAGGCACCTCCTTCTCCTGTCCAGGCTGGCATGAGGGCCAGGCTGAAGCGAGTAGCAGAGCCCCCCACACCCATCCCCCAGTATCCCAGCCAAGAAGCTAGGTCAGAACTGAGAGACTGAAGAGCCACAGGGCAGGAGGGACCACTCTGAGCCCCCAACTGTCATCTCCATACACCTCTGGCCTGGAGGTCTGTGTCTGGCTCCCCCAAGGACTGCAGAGAATGGGAAGGGGTGTGTGCGGAGCCAGGAGCTGCAGGAGAATGGCAGATGGGGACAGAGATGGAGCAGAACCAGAATCCAGGGCAGGAGGTCAAGAGAAGAGCAGGTCCAAAGGACAGAAACAGCGGGTGGGATGGGGGCCTCAAATATGTGATCTAAGGTCCGGATGCCCCTCCCTGGTAATGGGGGCTCCTCTGGCAGACCAACGCCCCCCACCTGTGCAGGCCTCAGCTGTATGGGATAGAGAATGTGTTCCTGGCAGTCTTCCAGTCCCCCAAACCCGGGACCCCAGCCCGTGGACCCGGGCACAGGCTCCCCGCCCCCGGCCGAACCCCCAAACTTCGCGGCCAGCCGTGCCCCGCCCGGCCCGCGCCCTACCTCTCTGGGGCCGTCCTGCGGCGGCCGGGGCGGGGCGCGGGGCCGGCGCGCCCCGCCCCCCCGCCCCCCCGCGCGCGCCCCGCCCCGGGCGGGGGGAGCCGGCCCGCCCCCGCCAGTCCGGCCCGAGCCCCTATTTGTATTATTTTTAATTGTTGTATTTTTTTTTATTTTTTATTTTTTCAGATATTTTTGATCCATGTTTGGTTGAATCTATGCATTTCAAACCCATGGATATGGAGAGCCAACTATACTAAGCTCTCAAAGGAGGTACTAAGTTAATTTCCTAGGGTTGCAATAACAAATTACCACAAACTGGGTGGCTTATTTATTCTCTCACACTTCAGGAGGCTAGAAGTCTGAAATCAAAGTTTCAGTAGAGCCAT